CTCGGTTTTAGGGCGTAGGGCTTGTGCTCTGGATCGACGTCCTCGTGGTCGTGTCTCATCGTGGTCTGGACGAACAAAGACGTCGGAAGGGTTCTGAGCTCGGGGTCTTAGGGCTTGGGCTTAGGTCTTAGGGCTTGTGTGCTCTGGATCGACGTCCTCGTGGTCGTGTTTCGACCTGGGTTGGACGAGCCAAGACGTCGGAAGGGTCTAGGGCTTAGGATCCTGGGCTTGGGATTTCGGGCTTAGGGCTTGTGCTCTGGATCGGCGTCCTCGTTGTCGTGTCTCGACTTGGCTTGGACGAGCCAGGACGTCGGAAGTGTCTGGGGCTCAGGGGGCTTAGGGCTCGTGCTCTGGATCGGCGTCCTCGTGATCGTGCCTCGCCCCCGCGCGAGCTCACATTCGCCTGCGTCTTCGCCTCGCCCCTGAGAGACATGCGACGCCGTGATCTCAGGGTTGACGCAAAGCATGCTCTCGAGAACCCACGCGAGCTCACGTACGCCTGCGTATTCGTCCAAGAGAAGGCGATCGAGAGAGAGAGAGAGAGAGAACCTAGGGGAAAAACACACAGACACAATGAATCGTCGACCCCCAGGAGAATATGGGAAAATATGGGAAGTGGGGGGGGAAGACAAAAACCCAGAACATGTGGGAAAATGTGGGAAGACAAAAACCCCAGAAAATATTGGAAAACCCAGAAAAATGACCCGTACAGGAAGCAGCGTTTCTCATCACCTCCCGCACCGTCTACACCGAAGTTTCGGAGACAGGAGGGCCAGGGACGCGAGTTCATGCACGCCTGCGTCTTCGTCTCGCCCCTCTGAAAGAGGGAGAGAGAGAGAGAGAGAGAGAGAAACAAAAAAAAAAATACGAGTCGAGAGAGAGAGAGAGCGAGAGCGCGAGAGCGCCGCGCGGGGCCGCGAATCGAGGGGCCACGCCGTGACCGAGGCCTTCCTCGTCGGAGGTCTGGCATCGAACGGCGGTAGGCCGTGCGCAGACTCTGTGGGCAAAAAACACACCGTGGGTAAACAAACACACGCTGTGGGTAAAACCTGTGTAAAACACACACAGCGTGTGTGTTTTACCAACAGTGTGTGTGTTGTGTGTGTTGTGTGTGTGTTTGTTGTGTGTGTGTTGTGTGTGTGTTGTGTGTGTGGTTGTGTGTTGTGTGTGTGTGTTTTTTACCAACAGTGTGTGTGTGTGTGTTGTGTGTGTGTGTTGTGTGTTGTGTGTGTGTGTGTGTGTTTGGTGTTTTGTGTGTGTGTGTGTTGTGTGTGTTGTGTGTGTGTTGTGTGTGTGTGTGCGTGCGTGTGTGTGTGTTTGGTGTGTTATGGGGGCCGCGCGCTCCGCAGCCGCTCCGCCTCGACCACGCTCGGGCCGCCCGCGGCGGCCGCGTCCCCGTGGGGGGGGGCCGCGAGGCGCGCCGCGCGGCCCCATCGCAGGGGCCGCTCTGGGGCGCGCCGGCTCCTCGCAAGGGGGAAACAAACACACAACAAACAGAAAAAAACAAACAACACACAACAAACATAACACACAAACATACAACAACAACAACAACAACAACAACAACAACAACAACAACAACAACAACAACAACAACAACACACACACACACACACACACACACACACACACACACACACACACACACACACACACACACACACACACACACACACACACACACACACACACACACACACACACACACACACACACACACACACACACACACACACACACACACACACACACACACACACACACACACACACACACACACACACACACACACACACACACACACACACACACACACACACACACACACACACACACACACACACACACACACACACACACACACACACAACACAAACAAGACAACACACACACAAAAAACATAAAACAACAACAACTAACAAACACAACAAACACAACACAACACAGCAACAAAAAAAAAACAACACAACCACGGGGAAACACACACGCACACACACACACACACACACACACGGGGGGGGGCAGCTCCTGGGTGGTCAGGCCCAGTCTTGCGTCGGGCGTGCCTCTCTACAGGAGGAATATACCCGCAGACAGGTGAGAAGCAGCCTGGGGACGATGCCGTTGGACTCTTTTCGGCTGTTGCTGAGCACTCTTTTGGAGTGTGCTTCACTTTTCGTCCAGGATCCGTCTGTAGGGGGGCGTGCCCGACCTGAGCCCAGTCGCAGGCGCCTTCTCGCCCCAGCCCCCCTCGGTGGCCCCGGGAGGGGGGGGCCCAGATCCCCTCGCGCTGCGACGCAGTCGCGACGGGAGGTGCTTCGCTGTCTTCTCAGGAGGGAAAGAGACACACAGACACACTTCATCGTCGACTCCCAGGAAAATATGGGAATCTATGGGAAGTGGGGGGGAAGACGAGGACCCGGAAGATATGGGAAAATATGGGGGATCCTGATATTTGTGTGTATTTACGTGTGTGTGTATTCATGTGTGTGTGTCCCAGGGCCCCTTCATTTTCGGCCTCTGGCGGCCTCTCCCGGGCCTCGGGGCCAGCACCACCGAGGGCGCCCGCTGGCCACCGCGTCTGCCTCGGGCAACCGGCCGCCCGCTGGCCACCGCGAAGCTCCAGCAGAACCGAGGCCTTGCAGTTTCTATGGTTGACTCCTCCCTTCTTCTTCTTCTTCTTCGTCCTCTTCTTCTTCTTCCTCCTCCTCTTCTTCTTCTTCTTCCTCCTCCTCCTCTTCTTCTTCTTCCTCTTCTTCTTCTTCTTCTTCTTCACCCCCCCTTTTGCTTCTCCCCTCGGCTTGGGCGTCTTCCAGCAGTGGCCGCCTTTGCCGCGCGTCCTTCGGTATCAGTCACAGAGCCACAGCTGCCGCCATCAGCTGCCCAACCAACATATCAATCGGAACCGTCAGAAGCGACTCGGGAGGAAGCACCGGTCCCGGGGAAGGGGTCCCGACCGCTGGAGGTCGACGTTGTGGAACAATCATGACGTCCGGCTCGACAAGTTATGCAGAGAGATGGGGTTTAGGGCGCTGGACGTGTTTTCCCACGATGTTTCAACTTTCTCGCGACGTCGGATCTCAGGGTTCTGATGCAGAGCAGGGAGGGGCACCAGTCTCGGCTGTGCCGCGCTGCTACGCAGAGTGCCCGATCGAGCTCTGGGCCCGGTCCAGCACTGGACGCACTGGACTCGGTTGGAGAAGCTGTGGGTTGAAAGCGGTCCCAAGTTGCGCGTGGCCTGCCTCACGAACGCGCCGGCCCTGCAGGCACCTTCGAGTCAGTCACGTCGCCAGGGAATCACCTGTCAGCCATGTGCGCCAACTTGTTCCGGACAGGGCACTGCAGCTTGGAGTGCCGCTGCCGTTCTAGTCAAAATCTGGCTGTTCAGACACGAGGGGCGCTTTGGGATACACCCCCAGAGGGCCAGTCGGACGCACCCCCTCCGAGAATGGACGTCCCTCCTCGTGTATCCCCGAGTTGGGCCGCAGACTGGTTGTTTCATTCCGAAGCCCCAGGAAGTCGGGGACAGGGGTCGCCAAGTCCCCCCTCGTTCGACATGGGCGCTCGCAGATCCGTGGTCGGAAGCCATCCTGATCTGGCATTCTTCGTTCGAGTCGGGCGGAATCCCGTCCAGCTCGGCTCAAGTACGTAGCCTCGTAACCTGGCCTGGTCTGGCTCAGTGCCCCCTTGGAGTCGGGCTTTCCTTGCCCGCAGTCGCTCCTACGACAGGCCTCCCAGGGGTTGCCTCTCACGGTCGGGGCCTTGTGTGGTTCGCGTGTTGTGCCGCCAGTTCTGGCCCACCGCGCTTCGGCGCGACGCGCTATCCACGTCCCAGCACGCGAATGTCGACGTCCGGAGTTTGTCCTAGGCGTCCGCCCCGCGGAGAGGAGCGACACGCTATCCACTCGCAAGGCATAGCGTGTCGCCGGGGCCGCCGTCGCGACACGCTAATCTAGGCATCCCCAGATGGTGTCCGAGTAGATGGTGTCGGAGAATCTCGCCGCACCGTCGATGCGGCTCGATGTGGAGCCCAATTTTTTCCACGCCGACGGCGCCGATGGATCGCCGACGACGCCGGTGCATCGCCGAAGCATCGGCGATACATCGCCGATGCAGTGGCGATGCGGCGCGACTCTTCGACCCCATCTGCTCGGGCCCCACCATGGAGGCCTCCAGCCAAGCAGAAGTTCCCGACCCTAATCGAAGAAGAGACAACGGCATTCACATAAACCGGCGCAGCTCCGCGCGGATTTCTTGGACCTGCGCCGGGCAGTTCTGGCGGCGCCTGGGGCGCCGCCCCTGGCGCGCTGTGCGCACCAGGAAACGGGGGGTCCGGAGCCGATCCGAGCGATCCGCGCGGACCTCCGGCGGTCTCTGGTCACGTTTCAGTCGGGCGTGTCCCTCTACAGGGGGAAGATTCAACCATGATTTCAAAGATAGCCTGGGGGCGATGTTTCTAGCATCCTTCGACTACTTTTGAGTATATTGTTTTTGTTGGGGGGGAGAACAACTTTTCGTCCAACATCCGCCTGTAGGGGGACATGCCCGACCTGAGGCTGCGCATGCTGTCTACAGTCGGGGCCCTGAAGAAGGAACCCTTTTCGTTGGGGAGGGGCTCCGCGTTCCTTAAGTGTTGCCCAGCTTGCCTCAGGTTTTCCTCACGTTTTCGATCGGAAGTCGATGTTTCACTTGTGGAAAGTCGGGGCCTCGTTCCTTATTCAGGGTTCCTTAGGTCAACGCCCCGACTGTACCCCCCCTTTTATGATTTTTTCATAGCGCTGACCCCCAGAAGTCTCGACCCATTCCCCGGGACCGGGCTTTCATCCCGAGCCGTTTCTGGATGGTCCCAGGGCCCGGCGAGGGCCCCCAGAGGCCGGGAGCGGCCAGGAGACTTGGCACGGGTCGTAAGCCAGATCCCTTCGGGTCATGGTTCCTTAGGTCAACGCCTCGACTCTAGTTGTCTCTCCACGTCCGTCCAGCCCCCCGCCGTGCCCCCCCCGCGAGCGAGGGCGCCGCATGGGGCCGCGATGGCGCCGGGGCAGCGCGGGGCCTCGGCCTCCGCGGCCCTCGCGGACGGCGGGGGGGGCGCGGCCCCGGCGGTGGCCCGCCTCCTGCGGGAGGTGCCCGAGGACGCCGCCCCCCCCGGCCGCCTGCAGCGAATGAGCGTGCCCAGCACGCCGGGGTGGCCTCTTTGGGCGTCCGCGCCTCCTCCTCCTCCTCCTCTTCCTCCTCCTCCTGCTCCTGCTCCTCCTCCTTCTCCTCCTCCTCCTCCATCGCCTCCTCCTCCATCGCCTCCTCCTCCTGCTCCTGCTCCTCCTCCTCCTCCTCCTCCTCCTCCTCCTCCATCGCCTCCTCCTCCTCCATCGCCTCCTCCTCGTCCTCCTCCTCCTCCTCCTTGTCCTCCTCCTCCTCCTCCTTGTCCTCCTCCTCCTCCTCCTCCTCCTCCTCCTTCTCCTCTCCCACAAGTCCGTCGACGACGCCGTCCACACGTACATCGACACTCACATGCCGCAGGGGGACAAGCTGGACATCCTCCCGCCATCCATGCACCAGCTGCGGGCCTCCTGAAGCGGAACTCCCCTTCGGCGCCTGGCCAAGACAGATTGCCGCACATCTCCTGGATCGCCCACGACCACACGCTCGCCATCCTGGAGGACTTGGCCCTCCAACTCTGCGCTGGGCATTCGAAACCCGCGACTTGAACGACTCAGACTTCGCATGTCTCCTGAAGGGTGACAACCTCCTGAGCGAGCTCACGACTGACCGCCGAATTACCCGAAGACACTCGCCCTCTCTCGCTGAAGAACGCGGACATCAAAGCCATCGCTGGCACCGCGAACCACTTCATCAAGCCTTTCGTTGCCGAGCGGATCCATAAGGCGCAGCAGGGCTTCGTCATGGGCAGGAACTTCACGCAGCACACCTTGCGCCTGGACTCTGAAATGCGTCGTCTTGGCCTCTTGGGGACTGCCTCGGAGTGCCACCCCATCTTCTTCAGCTTCGACTTCGCCGCGGCGTTCCCGTCTCTCGTCAGAACGTGGCTTTTCAAAGCGCTGCACCGCTTCGGGCTGCCGACGGGCTTCATGCACCTGTTCGATGCCGTGTGCTATGCGCCCACTTCCCAGGTCAAGGTCGACGGCGAACGCCACCCCATGTTCGCGATCGAGTCAGGAGTTGCCCAACGCTGCCTTGCGAGCGGGTCCGCCTGGGCGATTCCAATGGACCCCCTGATTCGCCACATCGCCGCCATCATCGAGCTGGACATCGCGGACGCTACCTCGCAGAACTACCTGGGCGCATGCGCGGACGATTTGGGCAGCATGCGCGAATCCATCGGAGTGATCGGCATAGTGGCTGAGGCCTTCGATGCTGCCGCTAGCCTCGCACTCCTCCCCCTCAAGCCTCGCAAGTGTGTTGCCGTCCCTCTTTGGGCGGCAGCGTCGCCTGCCACCATTGCCCATACCCAGGACATGCTTTCCGCGGTCGCGCCCTCCTGGCGTGCGTTTGCGATCGAGGGGCGTGCCAAATACCTCGGGATCTTCCTTGGCCCGTCGGCCTCCTTGGCTGACCGACGGCACGCCCCTGGGCAGAACTGGTGGCAGCGCGCGCACTCGCTTCAGCAGGTGCATTCTGGAAGCGATGTCACGGCTCGTCTCTATAACACGTCTGTCTTGTCTACGCTGAGCTATGTGGCCAGTTTTTTGCAGTACCAGCATCCATCGTTCGCCGTGAGCACTACATTTCCACAAGATGCTAGATCTGCTGCCGAATACATCCCGCAAGGTTGACCTTCTCGCGATGGCGGGTTGGTCGCTGCCTCCTGTATTTCGCTCAATTCAGGTCACGTCTGTCGTTGTTGCCGCTCGTTCTGCATCGCACACTTTGGCCGAGCTATGGGAGCCAGATTTCTCTGGGCTCTGCGACACAGCGTGCGAGGAAAGCACTGGTCACTCTTTCCATCGCTGGTTGGGCGGACTGTGGTCTCCCAGCTTCCGGGAGCAACCGCGCGCCATTGTGCAGTATTACACCCAGCTGCGAGACGCGCAGCGCACTACCCCATTCACACCAGCGATGATGCAAGCCGCTCGCCGCGCAGCGCAGGCGGACAAGGCTTTGGAGTTGGAAGCCCGGCCGCCGCGCCGCCACCACTTTCAGAGAGCCTTGGCGCCTTCCCTCCGCAAGTCCGCATTCGCCTCGCCATTCGTGGCCACCCTCACGAAGCCGATTGGCGCGTGGGGTCTACAGATTGCACCCGAGTCACTGTCCGAGCGATGGGAGTCGCTCACCAATTCCTTGCGTAGCGTTCGCCCAAGCTGGCGATGGGCTACACTCAAGACCTTGGCCGGCAGGTGGACGACCACCGCCCGCATGCACATGCTCGCGCCGCGCAGCTGCGTATTCAGCTGTTGCGAGCAGCCAGACTCATTCCCCCACTACCTTTCCTGTCCTCGCCTCTTGAGCCTCCTCTGGTCCCCTGATCCCCCACCCATCATCAGCGCGCTGTCGAGATGTGGGCGTGGGCCCCGCAGCAGCCTACCCGCCTGTGCCGAGCGATATGTCGCTCCGGGCCACCATCCGACGCATAGTCTTTGCGCTCCACTTCTAAAATAAGTACAGAACGGCCACGGTCAGCCAGCCAAACGCGTTGCTGGCTGCTGCCCGTGCTCTCGTCGTGCGCTAGCCAAATCGCACGGTGGTCGAGCCCTCTGAGGCCCAGGAGACACGTTCGCCTCAGGCTACCCGCGCTCCTCCGCCTTTTCCTCCTCCTCCTCCTCCTCCTCCTCCTCCTCCTCCTCCATTGTCTCCTCCTCTACCTCCTCCTCCTCCTCCTCTTCCTCCTGCGTTTCCTCTTCGTCGTCGTCGTGGCGGTGGTGTCGGTTGGAGCCGTCAGGGGGTCTGAGGTGGCCAAGCGCTGGTTCTGGCCAGCGGGACGGGGGTGCAGCTTCGAGGTTCTGGGTTCGGAAAAGGTTTGGTGTTTCTTCTGGGCCCCAGGACAGTGAAGCATTCATCCAGGGTGACAAACTGTATCAGATGGACCGCAGGAGAGGTCCAGGGACAGACTGGGAGCGGATTTGGCCTCATCCCCCCTCCTGACAGATTTTCTGAGTTTTTTCTTGGGTCGTAGATGCAATACCGCACCACTACATTCGCAACGTGGCAACGACAGGCCGGCGACAAACATACAACACACTGCGACGCGCCACGTGGCAAAACCGCACAACGAAACAACAACGACTCTATTGCACTCGACGTGGCAATGCCGCGGAGGCGAACACCTACACCAACGACCTAGTCGGCACGCGGCTCCACCGCGGACCGACGACGATGCCGAAGTGTGGGAGGCCTGCAGTGGCGGGCTGGCTCGCGGTTTATGCTTAAACTGCTACGAGTCCGCGGGCGAAACGCTCTTCATTCCGTGCTCGGGAGGGTCTCGCGGGGCCCAGTTTTTTCTCTCGCACCCCCGGACGGGGACAGCAAAGCAAGGGGAAACGAGAGGGGAACGAAGCAGGGTAGGAGGGCGGGACGATTTTGGGGTCCCAAACAGTTCAGACGATAGAAGCACCCAAGCAAACCTGGAGATTCCGTTGTGGACTTCCCAGCGCATCCAACATTGTTTTCTGATGATCCGTATTTGGTTTCCCTCTCTTCCTTTCGCTGTTCCTCCCGCTCTGTTTCCTCGTCGCGTTCGTTTTGATTTGTTTTTCGCTCTCCAGCGCGCGGCGATTCGGCGATGGCTTCGGCAATGGGTAGCAGTCTTTTGTTGCGAGGACGAGCAATCCACCCGTGGAGGTTTGCAAGACATGAGCTGGCGGGGGCTAGAGCAGACCTCCGCGCATCGATGAACATGTGCGACGTGGCGCGCAAGGCGCGCGCGCGCATGCGAGCCATCGGTGGCCCTCCCAGGCTCGCTTCTTGCTCACGCTAAGGTTGGCATCTCGCTGGACGTATCGATGCGGCTCCCCGTGAAACCGGAAAGGTAGCAATTGCCAGCACACGGAGTACATCTCCAACCGTGATACATGCAACTACAATCACCAACGCATCCAAGAGCCTGAACTTCTGAATTTCTTTACAGGCCTCAACGGTTTTTGTTTATATTCCGCGGGTCCACGGTTCATCCGGTTGGCCAAACGTAGCATTCTATTCAGAGCGCCCGATGTGCCTCTTCGCGTCATGTCCGTCGTAACCCAAATTCCGCGGATGTGTTTTCGAATATTTTCAGCAACGTTTTCTTTATTGTGCTTTCTTCGACCCTAACTTAACAACGCACAGCGTCGCGAAGTGCACTTCCTGATGTTGGCTTCTAGTGATTGTCCCTTGTCTTTGGCTTCTAGTCATTGCCCATTCTCTGTATATCGTAGCCTCTTTGTCGGAGTGCGTGATCTTGTTTGCCGCAGCCTCCGCCCTGGCCGCTTCCGCAGGCCAGCACGTGCGACACCATAGTTGACGCAAGTACAGTCGGGGCCCTGAAGAAGGAACCCTTTTCGTTGGGGAGGGGCTCCGCGTTCCTTAAGTGTTTCGCAGCTTGCCTCAGGTTTTCCTGATGTTTTCGATCGGGAATCGAAGTTTAACTCATGGAAAAAAGGGGCCTCGTTCCTTATTTGGGGTTCCTTAGGTCAAACCCCCGACTGCAGCACCGCCTGAAATGACACCTAAGCGGGGGTGACCCAGTACCATCGTGTACGGATTGCGCAGTGTGTTTTATTTACGGACAGTGCAGATGTTCGTGCCATGTTGTACGTACCCTCATACAGACTAGATCCACACCGCTGCCTCGTGAACACGGTATCCATTACGTTGCTCTTGAAGCTTGGTGGAACCACGAGCATCAACGAACTCAGATCTTTTATCTGTGAAAACGGCCTTCGTCAGGAAACAGCCTTTTCCTAAACAAACATACTTTTGTTGAAGGGGCCCAGTCGTCAAACTTAGGATGACAAGTTACCCCGCGCCGACGTTCCACCGACGGCATTGGCCGCGGCGCGGCCAGAAGACGCCTCCAGCACCCACCTGTCCTTTTGGCTACATCGTGTGTGAATAAAGTACAGGGTGCATCGGCAAGCTCTGTGGCGACGGGCGCAATCAATGTAATGATAGTGCTGCCTGTAGGATAATGCAAGATGTGTTTGCTGGTTTCTTGACCTGTCGCTGCCAGGATCTGATTCGTGTTGCTGCCGACGTCTAATAGAGCTCCCACCATCTTCCTTCCACCGCATATGACGTTAGCCATGCGCTAATCTGTGCTATACGTTCCAACAAACCGTTCGTGTGCTGTTGGCCGCAACCAAAAGAGACGAAAGGGATGCGAAAGAGAATACGGTTGACGATGATGATGGAGGTGCTGCTGCTACTGGTGATGATAACTACGATGATGATGATGTCGATGAGGATGATGGGGAGGACGGATAATTGTCGATGACAGGACAGTTTGGAAGTACAGGGAGAATGGGGAATTAGAAGGAGGCTGTACCGACGACGGCGCAGAGAGCGACGAGGGGAAGGAGGGTAGAGAAATCACGTGTTGGGACCATGTGGCGCAGAGGCCCCTTGCCGTTGCGCCGTCGACGCAGCCCCTCGCTGAGGGAAAATTCTGAATATCTTGTTCGCGGGTCTTGTAAATTGACGAAGACGCCCGAAGGGCGATCCGAGCGCCTCTGCGAGCTCGTCAACCTCAGCTGCTATCCTTCTCCCCTCCCTGTCGCATTCTTGTTAATGTGTCGGCTCCTCCTCCTCTTCATTAGTTTCCTTGTTTTCTGTTCCTCATTGTCCTCCCCCCCTCATCCTCGTCCGACTTCCCGTCCCCAAATGTTTTGTTTTTAGAATGAATTTGCAATGCGGTGATTGTGGGGGAGTTCGATTTCAAATTGTTGGAGCTGGAACCGAATCAGTTCCTTGGAAACTCGTTAAACATCCAGTGACACGGCCTGGAACTCTGTTGGCGAAGAGCCGCACAGGGAATCAATTTGTTTCGTGAGCCACAAAGGGAACATGTTCCCACCACAGGGAATCCTTCTGCAATGCGCTGCAAACAACTTGTTCAACTTCGCCACAATGAATCCATGTGTAGCCCGCCAGGAGCGCAATCCTTCTGTCATCCGCCATACAGGGGATTGTTGTACCATCTGCCACAACAAGAAATATCGTTGTACTCCGCCGCAAACAAAATCTAAACTTCATCCGCCATGAACGAAGAAAGCAGATGCAGGCACAGCTACACCAGGTCTTCTGTGTAAAACGAAACGGTTTCTTTGCCTGCGTCGGTTCAGTTGTTCAGCTTTTTGGGTTGGAAGTTTGTTTTTGTTTTAAACTGTACCGGCTCGAATTGTCTAAGCTGTTGTTTTTAAATTGTGTTCAATGGCTTTGGGATAGATGTCAAAGCGTTTCGTCTTACAAATTTGACATCGTCTGTTTATGGCATTGACGCAACCGTGCCTGTATATGGTTTCTCCACAGCTCGCGGAGTCAAAAAGGATTCCTGTTGCTGCGTGTTGCACGAGGATTACTTTGTGGCAGAGTGCAGTAGGATTTCTTTTGTAGCGGATTGCAGAGAATGTTTCTGTGGTTGGATGCACAAGCATTCTTTCAGTGGTTTAACAACCAAGGGTTCTATGCTAGGCAGATTGCAAAGGATTGTTGCAGTGGCAAAGTATGAACGGATCTTCTTCGCCCCCGAGAATGAAAGGATGCATCCCGTGGTGGAGTACGACAGGATTCCGAGCAAACGATTGCCAAGTGTTTGCGTGTTCGATAAATTACAGTCTCAATTCGACGCCCTGGAAAAATCATAGGGAGGCATCCGAGTCAACCGACAGGTTTGCTTGGGGACAAATGATTTAGTCCCCCTGCCCGTCTCCATTGCGAAGCGGGTCAAGGCTCATTGGGTTTTGCGATCGCCCTCAGAGGTGATCGGCCGTTGCGTGCACAAGCCGTGAATTACAGTGAGCGGCTTGAATAAGGAACACTTATTTTTCAAAAGGGGCTCGGTCGTTCCTTAGGCTTGCATGAGTTATTTACAGTTCCTTATGCGTCATTTGTTATTGATCGTTTATTATGCGTTATTCCTTGGGATAAAAAAGGGGCTTCGTTCCTTATGTATCGTTCCTTAGGTCAGGCCGATGACTGTAGAGCTCGTTTTTCTAAACCTCCCAGAGCCTGAAGTTTACGGCACAGTTAAACATGATGATCAGCCGCAACAGCAACCATCAGCCGCCGCCGTGCCCATGACGCAGTCTTCCGGCCTCTTGCAAGAGCCACGGATCGGCTTCGGCGCCGTCGTCGTCGACGCCAGAGTGTGTGGCGCCCGCGGCAGTTCTCGGCATGCTCGTTGGGATTAGGCGGCTTTCGAGCCTCGAGATATGTCCAAGCAGCTGCGCCTCGCCGAGGGCGTGCCACAGAGCACGGAGGTGCGACCCGAAAACTCCAGAGGCTGGACCGACCCTCAGGTCTTGGCGTCGTATGTTGTGGCGCAGCGGGCGATTTCGCCTTGCTTCGGACCTTGGGGCCCTCACGGATCGATGCGGCACGAAGCATGCCCGAGAGAGATGGGGCTTAGGGTTCCGCTGTATCGGATGCAGTTACTGGGAGGTGAAATTCTGACTGTCTGCCCTGGTCCGAATTCTGACTGTCTACCCCGCTTCATCCGGTTTTATCATATTAAATCTGGCTTGATCCCGCTCGATCCCGCAAATCCGCGGCTTGCTCCGACGTAGCAGCCCCCCGATGGGGTCTGGCCCACGAGCGCGGGCAGAACTTTTGTCCATATCCACCGCAGCTTTGAGTTCTGGGCTCCCTTGCCAAGAAAACTGAGGCGCACTGGATATGGAAAAACCCTTGGCCTTCTGACGCCACTTCCCGGAAAGTCCAAGCTGCGTCGGGTACGGACACGCGCTTTGCCCCCACTGAGGATATCCGGGCGTGCCTCTTCCTCTTCCTCGGCCTGGCCGGGCTGGGCAGCAGCGCGGCCTGCAGCAGGGCGTTGGCCGCGTGCCTCTGGAGGGACCCGGCCTTCTGGAGGGTCTGTCGCGCCAGCTTGAAACACACACGCACACACGCACACACACCAACACACACACACACACAAACACCAACCTACACCAACACACACGCACACGCACACGCATACACACAGCGGGCTCATTTCGACTCCTCCGATTTGGTCCGATCCGATTTCTATTGTTTGCAGTGCCGATTCGTTTTGGTTTCGGGTTCCGATTTTGATTTCTTGTTCTCAGAGGAGGCCTTACTTGCCCGCCGTCTTTCACTGGCTCGACTTCTCCTGACTTGGCTTCCGATTTCCGCCGACCCGCCTCGTTTCGATCGCCGACCCCTACTCTTCGATGCCGTTCTGGGCTCTCCTGTCCCTGTCCTCGCGGTTCGAACTTCGAGGTTCGAGGGCCGAACTTCGAGGATCGAGGGCTTCTGTTGGCCTCCAGGGGTCCCTGGGGCTGCTCGTCCCCGCGGCTGGCTCCACCCCGAAGTTCTGCCCAGCGCGCACCCCAGGGGAGGTCTGTGGGCCGGCTCTTGACCCCTGGGCCCTGCGACCGGCACCGCCTCACTCTCGGCCCCCCAGGCCCCTCACGCACGGAAAAACAGCAAGATCGAGGTTTTCCGTGCGTCTGGCCTCTAGGGGCCTTGTCTCGGCCCCGAGACCGTGAATATATATATAGAGAGAGAGAGAGAGGGAGAGGGAGAGAGACAGAGAGAAAGAGAGAGACAGAAACAAACCGATCCGAGACGAGAACATGACCTCTGGATGTGGTCCAGAAGTGTGGACATCGTTGGTCTGGGTCTGCGACCGGCATCGCCTTCCCCCCATGAGATCTTGGCGTCGGATATGTTTCACAGCGGGCGATGTCGCCTTGTTTCAGGCCCCGGGGCAATCACTGAACAAATGCGGCAGGAGGCTGCGGTCCAGGGCTCCGGGTGAGTTTTGCGCACGCTGCCACATTTTTGCTCGTGGCGTCGGCTCTCAGTGTGCCCCCAGGCCTCCGAGAAGTAGGAGGAGGAGGAGGAGGAGGAGGAGGAGGAGGAGGAGGAGGAGGACGGCGGTTAGGAGGAGGAGGAGGAGGAGGAGGAGGAGGAGGGAGGAGGAGGAGGAGGAGGAGGAGGAGGAGGAGGGGGGACGCTTTTGTTTCCAATCATGGCGTCGTTCTTCGACATGTCTCGGCCTCGTGGGGCCTGTGGCCAGGCACCGGCCGCCTCGGTAAGGGGTCCTGTGCGGAGGACCTGTCTCCTGGGACGCGCCCGAGAGTTCGAGGACCCTGCATCTGAGAGGTCACACATCGTCGGAGGTCTGGGTGCGGTAGGTTCGCGTCGTGTCGAACGGCGGCGACCCCGCCGCCTGCAAACAACGTCGAATGCGGCGGGCGACCCAGAGTCGGTCGGTGTTGAACGATTCGACGTCTCGGATGAGGCCAATCGTTCAGGGTCGAACGATCCCCGCGGAGTCAGGAGCCAGCGCCGAAGTTGGCACGACACGAGCCCGCCGCGTTCGAATCAGGCAGTGCCACGGGGGGGGGGGGCTCGCCAGCCAGGGGGGGGTCGCCACCCCCTCCTTCCTCTGGCAGGCGAGGGTGGTCGAGGAGAGCAGGGCTCGAGCTGAGCGGTGTGCTGTGGCGATGTCATGGGCCGTCTTCGTTTCTCGAGCTCGTCCCGCTGCAGAAACGCAGGAGCGGAGCCAGAGCGAAGGAAGACAGAGGCAACGCGAGAAAACGGAAGCTACGGTCTGGCTCGAGCCCTGTCGAGAAGGAGGGGTGACCGAGGATCGAGCTGTTCTGCCCTGCGCTGTGCGATTGTGGGGCTGTATGGGGCGTTCTTCGCTGTCCCGGCTCACCCTAGCCCTCCGCTCGGCTTCTGTGCTTTCCTTCGGCCACCCCTCCCAGGGAGGAAGTCTTACCCCCTCTCGGGCAATGATAGCTGCCGCGGCTCGTGGGAATTCCCCTGGCGCTTCGGGATGCGCGACGGTGAGAATGATGAGAAAGCCTGGGGCGCTTCTGGAGATCCTTGGACGCGAGGAGCCCGCGCGACGACTGCGCAGAGGAAGGCGAAACACAGGGGAGGGGCGCGCTCCTGCCCTCGTTGCCCGCAGTGAAGAGGGCACGCGCGACCTCCCAGGGGGGGGGGCAAGGAAAAGGCGAAGAGCAGGATGGAGGAGGAGGAAGAGGAGGAGGAGGAGGAGGAGGGAGGAGGAGGAGGAGAGGGAGGGGAGGAGGATGGGGCGGAGGAGGAGGAGGAGGAGGAGGAGGAGGAGGAAGAGGAGGAGATGGAGGAGGAGGAGGAGGAGGAGGAGGAGGAGGAGAGGAGGAGGAGGATGGAGAAGGAGGAGGAGGAGGAGGAGGACGACGACGACGAGGAGAGGAGGAGGAGCGGGAGCGAGGAAGTGGAGGAGGAGGAGGAGGAGGAGGAGGATGGAGGAGGAGGAGGAGGAGGAGGACGACGACGAGGAGGAGGAGGACGAGGAGGAGGAGGAGGGGGAGCGAGGAAGTTTTGGAAGCTTCGGGGCGGCGTGCTTGGGAGCCCTCAGGGTGTTCTGGGAGATCCAGCCAGGCCCCACCTCCTGAAGGAGAGGGGGCGTCTCCCTCTAGCATAACCTCATCTCGGAGCCGACTTCCTCCTCCTCCTCCTCCTCCTCCTCCTCCTCCTCCTCCTGCTCCTCCTCCCTCCTCATGCTCCTCCTCCCCTCTTCCTCATTTCTCCTCTTCCTCCTCCTCCTCCATCCTCCTCCTCCTCCTCCTCCGCCTCCGCCTCCGCCTCCGCCTACCCTCTCTCCTCCCCTCCCGCTCCTTTCCCCTTCCTCCTTTTTCCCTCCTCCTCCTCCTCCTGCTCTCCTTCCCCTCCTCCTCCTCCTCTCCTCCTCCTCTCCTCCTCCTGCTCCTTCCTCCTCCTCCTCCCCGTCCTCCTCCTCCTTCTGTTCTCATCCTCCTCCTCCCTTCCTCCTCTCCCCCCCTTCCTCTCTCCTCCTCCTCTTCTTCTTCCTCCTCCTGTTGTTTCTCCTCTGGCCCCTCCTGCTCCTCCTCTCCTCCTCCACCTCCTCCTCCTCCTCCTCCTCCTGCTCCTCCTCCTCCTGCTGTCTCCTCCTCCTCCTCCTCCTCCTCCTCCGCCTCCTCCTCATCTCCTCTCCTCCTCCTCTTCCTCCCCCTGCTGCTCCTCCTCCTCCTCTCCTTCCTCCTCCTCCTCCTCCTCTTCTCCTCCTCCTTCTCCTCCTCCTCATCCTCCTCCTCCTCCTCCTCCTCCTCCTCTCGGTATCCTTAGGTCGCACCCCCGAGGCTGTCGACCCCCTTTGGCCCAGTCGATATCTCAGGGCTCCAGGGCCGAGCTCCAAGCAGGTCTACGGAGGGCCGAGCTCGATGAGGGACCTCGGCCCGGGCCCCCTGTCGGCGGACGCGCTCAGGGACGCTTTCAGGATCGGGGGCGGCAAAGAGGGGGGTCAGGACTAGGGGGGGGTGATATCAGTGCGCGGGCCATGATACGCCCCAGATTTCATAGCGCCGCGTCTTACTGCATTGCGTCCCTGGCCCCCTTGGGCCGCCCACCTGCCGCCGGCCATGATTTGCGCCCCCCCATCTTGGACGCCCCCCTCGCGGCCGCCCCCAACAGGAGGTGGCTGTTCCACCTGGACAGCCAGTGGGCTGCGGACTTCGAGGCGCTCGTGCGCCGCGAGGAGCCGAGGGAGGACAGAACTGCAGGAACAGAAGCGTCCAGAGGACCGCGCAGACTTCTCGGATCGGGGCTGGGCCCCCACTGGCGGTGCCTCCGGGGCCGACCCTGGTTGCGACGATCCGATGCGGCCCGATGCGCCGGTGCTTGCTTGGCACTGTTGTGCATCCTGGCGCAGGCGACCCGTTTCGTGTTTCAATCTCCGCGCCGATGCGGCCCGGTCCGATGCACGTCTCGATTCGATCCGATCTGCCGGTTCGATGCTGACCGACCCTGCCAGCCTCGCCGCCGCCTCCTCCTTCTACCCCTCCTCCTCCTCCTCCTCCTCCTCCTCCTCCTCTCCTCCTCCTCCTCCTCCTCCCCTTCCTCCTCCTCCTCCTCCTCCTCCTCCTCCTCCTTTTCTCCTCCTCCTCCTCCTCCTCCTCCTCCTCCTCCTCCTCCTTCTCTGTGTGGCAGCTGGATGCATGTAGCGTGCCCAGCCTGGGCAAGAGAGCCGGAGGCCCGAGTGGCCAGATGATGCTCCCAGCGCTCGGCCGCCCAACGACGGGGCACGCCAGCTCGCCGCGCGCGTGTCCAGAGCGCGGCCTCAGCGTGCGTTCGGGATGGAGCCTGTCCCTCTACAGTGGGAATTTTCGAAAATAGTCAAAAGATAGTCAGGGGACGACTTCTCGATTATTTTTGAGCAACGTTTGAGCATTTGTCGACAACTTTTTTATTTGTCGTCCAGAATCCGCCTGTAGGGGGACATACCCGACCTAAATCTAGTGCTTCCCGCTTGCTGGCAGCTGCGGACAGGAGCTCCTTGGCCATCGATTCCGACACATTCCTCCTCCTCCTCCTCCTCCTCCTCCTCCTCCTCCCTCCCCCTCCTCCTCCTCCTCCTCCTCCTCCTCCTCCTCCTCCTCCTCCTCCCACTCCTCCTCCTCCTCCTCCTCCTCCTCCTCCTCCTCCTCCTCCTCCTCCTCCTCCTCCCCCCTCCTCCTCCTCCTCCTCCTCCTCCTCCTCCTCCTCCTCCTCCTCCTCCTCCTCCTCCTCCTCCTCCTCCTCCTCCTCCTCCCCCTCCTCCTCCTCCTCCTCCTCCGCCTCCCCTCCTCCTCCTCCTCCTCCCCCTCTTCTCCTCCTCCTCCTCCTCCTCCTCCTCCCTCTACTCCTCCTCCTCCTCCTCCTCCTTCCTCCTCCTCCTCCTCCTCCTCCTCCTCCTCCTCCCCTCCTCCTCCTCCTCCTCCTCCTCCTCCTCCTCCTCCTCCTCCTCCTCCTCCCCCTCCCCCTCCTCCTCCCCACCCTCCTCCCTCCTCCTTCTCCTTCTCATTCTCCTCGCGTGCGGTGAGAAGCTGCGGTCGGGAGCTGCTGCTCAGCGTGCCGCGGCGGCGGCCCCCGCCCGGGCGACGCGCCGCCCCCCTGCGAGCGGACAGCGCGTCGCGAGGCGGGGGCGCTGGGAAAGGCTGGCTCGGTGCGCTGAGGCTTGGTGATCGGGCCGTGGGCCGCGTGGTGATCGCGCCGAAGCGTGGCGAGCCAGAGCCAGCGGCGCGACGCGCGGCGCCACAGTTCCTGACCGTGCGTTGTCCGGAAGGGGAAGACACCGGCACATTTCAAGAGTGGGCCTCTGGGAGCATGTGTGGGACATGTGGGACGCGTGGGGGAAGACGAGCACCAGGGACATCTGCGAAGATATGGGAGACTCTGGGATGTGTGTGTCGTTATTTTTGTGCCCCTGGGCCCCTTCACAATTACCCTGACATCCGTCGATCTGGTGTGTCAATCCGCAGCCCCAGATGTCTCGGCCGCTTGCCCCAGGGGAGTGTCCTCTGCCTGGGATCCGTTTGTTATTCGGGGGCGGCAAAGAGGTGATGACTGGGGGGGGGTATCATGGCGGGGGAATTGAGATCTTCCAAGATTTCATGGCTCCTCTTCTTATTTCCATACGTTCCCTGGCCTCCCCCTGCTCCGCGCACGTGCCTCGGGCCCTGCTTTGCACCCCCGCCCCTCGGACGCCCCCCTCTTGGGCGCCCCCGATGGATGGCCCCCGGGGCCCGGAAGAGGCCCCAGAGGGCGGACATCGCGGAAGAGCCCCCCGCTGGAATAAGTCATGCCTCTCGCAGGAGACATGGGCTTATAGAGGTCACGTGTCGACCCCCTCAGACCTCTCCGGGTGCTGCGTTCTGGCCAGAGAACCGCGGGGCGGAGCCAGCCGAGGGGATGAGAGGCCCCAGGGAAGCTCACGAGAAACCTGGAAGCTCGAACCTCGATCCTCAATCCTCGAAGCCCCGCAGGAGCAGTCGGAGTTCGGCGCGGACCACGCCCTCATCTTCACGGAGGCCACGAGGATCGTGGCTGGGCTCATGCCCTCCGACGGGAGGCAGTGCGTCGCGCAGTTCGTGGCGACGCTGGGGGCGCTGCTGTCGGAGTACGACCCCGCGCAGCTGGACGAGAACGGAGGGGGGCCGGCTGTCTTCCCCGAGAGTTTGGCGTCGCAGCTTGTTTTCGCGACGGAAGTTATCGCCGGGCCTCGGGCCCAGAGACCTTCCCACATTGATCTGGCTGGAAGAATGGCGCAGAGCGATGGGGTCCGGGGCTCCAGGGGGCCTCCTCCTCCTCCTCCTCCTCCTCCTCCTCCTCCTCCTCCTCCTCCTCCTCTTTCTCCTCCTCCCTCCTCAATCCTCCTCCTCCTCCTCCTCCTCCTCCTCCTCCTCCTCCTCCTCCTCCTC